AAACTCTAGTGATTATTTAAAACATTTCTTTTAGATATTACCAAGTCCCTCTTGGTGACAGAGTTGGGCTCTTCCAGGACGCCGGAGACTGTAAGGATTGTTCTTTCTAATATGGAGAAGCTTCTTTGCATCCCCATTCATGGGTAAGCTCTTTTCATTTGTCCCCAAAGTGCCAGATAGTTTAACATTTTAAGGAAAGAATTTTCTTTAGAAATGACATTTTTTATTAATAGACATGGAAAAGTGCCATAATTTTAATTTTGTAATGTCATTTTGAAAACTTACTTGAAAATAATTTCAAACTTAAAATTTGCAGAAATAAAATAATACACACACACAAAAACCTACACTAGTATGCCCTTTAGCCAGATTCACCTATTAACATTTTACCCCATTTATTTATCATCTTCTGTGTGTGTGTGTATGTTTATACACACCTTTCTTTCCCTGAACTATTTTAGGGTAAATTACGTCATGGCTCTTTACATCTAACTACTTGAGTTTATTTCCTGAGAGGAGGGATATTCTTTTCAGTAACCACCATGCAGTACTGACAGCATAGATTTACTTTTTCTCTAATCTGCCATCCATGGTCACTTTCATCAGTTGCCCTCATAACGTCCTTTGTAGCATTTTCCTTCATCCAGAGCAAGACCCAGCCTCCCTCTAGGCGATACATGTAGCTGCCGCGTGTCCTTAGCCGCCTTTGATCGGGAGTACGGGGAGTACGCCCACAGCCTAGGAAATTGCCACTCACTCTGAGTTTTCAAATCATTTGCATAGAGGTATGCAAGGTAGACTCATAATTTACTTCTGGTTTCTCTGTATCAGTAATTATTTCTCCTTTGTCACTTCTTATTTTGTATATTTGTGCTTCCTTTTTTAAATTTTGATGAAATTACTTAGAGGTTCGTTTAAGAATCAGAGTTTTGATTTATTTATTATTCTGATCTATTTTTCTCCTCTCTACCTTATTATTTTCATCCTACTTTCTTTTGACTCATTGTGTTCTTTTCTNCTCTGTCACACTACCTTCTGGCCCTGCCATTGGCCGAGCCTGGTATTTTCGCCATTGAGCAGAAAACACGTTTATGGGTGCGACTAAATAAATATAGTTCCTCTCAATAAAAAGGTACACAGCTAAGAGATAAAAGGTCATAATAATGATTATTGGGACAATTCAATATTGAATGAAGGAAAACTAGAAAAGTGAAAGTAGGAAAGGAAAGCTGACAACCTCAGGCACCGCTCCCGGCACTCGCATGAGATTTATCGCATGTTGTGTTTTAGGAAGGCGTGAAGACGCAGGACTGTGGTGGGCGATGTGCCTGCTCATGCACTTGTTCAGTGCTGTGTTAGTTTCCTGTTGCTGCAGAGCACATCACCCTACAACTTAGCAGCTCTAGACAACAGGTATTTATTACCTCAGCTTTCTAGGGTCAGGAATCGGGGGGCAGCGTAGCTGCGTGGTCTGGCCAGGGCCTCAGAAACCTGTAACCATCTGGCATCCAGGCCTGCAGCCACCTCAGGCCTCCCCTGGGCCTGCAGGCCCACTCACTCCCTTCGGTGACTGTGGGCGACGTCAGTCCTCCTGGGTTGTCTGCTGGCAGCTTCCCTGCCCCTCACCATGTGGGCCTGTCCACAGAGCAGCTCCTAACATGGTGGCTGGCGTCCCCCAGCGCGAGAGAGGGAAGTGGAGGGAGGGAGAAACAGACTGAATTATGTGAAACCACAGCACTGTTTTGTGAACGAGGCTTCAGAGTTGCACACGGTCACTTCTGCTCCGTTCTGTTGATTAGAAACGAGTCATGAAGTTCAGATTCACACTCAGGGCGACGGGTACTGGGCTCTACGTCTTGGGAGAGGAGTAGGAGAGAATTGGTGGACGTGTTTTTAAAGCGCCACATTTCCTTACTAAGTTCTCACCTGCAGCCAGCGCCCTGGTCAGGGGTGTGCGTGCACGCGAGTGCCGGGGCTTAGCCTGGAGCTGCGTGTGGAGTTTGGATTCTGTTGCTTTTCACATGACTTCACTCCGAGGGAAAGAAAGCTTTCTCACTCTTATCAGCCTGAAGGAGAAAGGGGCGACAGTAGAAAAGTGTGGCGTGCAGACTTCTGTTGTGTTTTGTAGTAGAGTCGGTAGCCAAGGAAGTGGTCAGGTTTGGAAATGGTTGAAAGCAGTGGAAAGAGTTGGCGCTGATCGCTCTTGCTTTTAGTTTCATTGGCGAGGAATCCGTGGCAGCCGGGGAGCAAAGTGTCCTGACCGACAACCCTACGTGGATCATCGACCCCATCGATGGGACAACTAACTTTGTACACAGGT